GGGTGGGTGGGTGTATTTGTATTTACATATAGATGTTAAAAGGAGGCAGGGACCTTTCTCCAGAACCGACAGAGAGAGAAAGCTTTCCCCTAGAGCTGGCACACTGAGTTTGGACTTCTAGCTTCCTAAAGTATGAGTGCTTTAGTATATGGCTATAAATGTTCTGCTCATGTAATGTTAGAAATAAGGAAAACACAAGTGGGTGTGGAACTGATATCTTTATCAGTGTCTGTTCCATGCCAGGTCCTGTGCTCTGGTCTTTATGTTCATCATTTCACATAATACTCAGGGCAAATTTATGAGGTGTAGTTTTTATCCCAGTAGTTCTGGTGGCACAGTGGTTAAGGCATTCGTCTGCTAACAAAGTTTGGCAGTTTGAACCCAGCAGCCACTCTGTGGGAGAAAGATAAGGTCTGTTTCTGTAAAGCTTTACAGCCTTAGGAACTCTATGGGGCAGTTCTCCTCTGCCCTGTAGGGTCACTGTGAGTTGGAGTTGACTCAATGGCTGTGGGGTTAGGTTATCTCCATTTTACAGATGAAATGGCAGCTCAAGAAGTTAAGTAGTTGCCCAAGGCTCATGTATAGGAGCTCTGGTAGCATAGTGCCTAAGGCACTTGACTACTAACCAGAAGGCTGGTGGTTCAAACCCACCAGCCACTCTTCGGAAGGAAGGTTGGGCAATCTACTTCCGTAGTGATACTGCCTCAGAAACCCAAGAAGGGGTCGCTATGGGTCGGGTCCAACTCGACGGCATGTAACAACAACAACAACAACTCAGAGTATGTTGGAGTCCTTTGGTGGTGCAAATCATTAATGCACTTTGTGCTGACTGAATGGCTGGAAGCTAGAGTGCACCCAGAGACACTTTGGAAGAGAGGTCTAGTGATCTATTTCCAAGCAGTCAGCCATTGAAAACCTATGGATCACTGTTCAACTCTGATGCATGTGACATTGCTGAATCAGAATTGACTCAATGGAAAGCTAGTTGGTTTGGTATCTATGTTATGTGATATATTACACAAAAATAAAGGGGGCTGATGTGAACATAATCTGCACAAAAACAAAACCAATACAGGCTGAGGGGAAAGTCTTCTTCCAGAGAAATCATGTCCTCTGTTAGCTCTGTCTTCACTGTGCCCATCCAGGACCTGTCTTTATATAACCCCAATTTTATCAATTCCAAAAGTGAAATAGAAACTTATTAGAAGATCCACATAATTTTGTTTGTGTAGGTCAAATATTACATAACTCAATATCACCAAAATATGTCTCCATATGTCAGGTCTTCTGGTATGGCATCTCATGCTTTTGTCTTATTGATAGACGCCTATTGAAGAGATGACTTTGATGGAACTACTCTCCCCTGATCTAAAATGACAAATGATCTAAAATGATAGCACATTTTCCAAGACCCTAGGTGAGAAGGATGAAAACAGTACCACACTTACTTATAAAACCCAGTAGCAGACAAGCTCACTGCATCCATGTAGGCAGCTGAGACCTGAGGGAGAGGACATGGTCATCAGGAAAGGGAAGAGGTCTCAGGGAGCATGGTTTTCTAAAACCCTGGCCCACCACTTTAAGCTGGCATGGCTTCATCCTCCTCATCTGGAAGTAGATCAGCTCTTTTTTGCTAGTGACTCTCATTTCCATACTTTACCTCCCATCTCACTGCTACCATCTGCATCAGATCCTCATCACCTGAAGCCTGGAGTACTACACCAGCTCTTAACTGGTGTTCCTGCCTTGAGTAGCCCTCAAACCCACCATGTAACTCAGCTTACACGTTGGAGCCAGAGTGATCATTTTAGCATACCACACTGCCCATGCCACTCCCCTATTCCAGAGCTTGCAATGACTGCCCATTGCCTATAGAGTAAATGCCTATAAGGACTCTGATCTTTTCTCTTGTCTGTGAAATTATTCAGCTGCTCTGTCAACATGGCCCATACTCACTACAACAGCTCTCAACTTCTTTTTGACTTTGTGACTAGATCTATGACTAGACCTGGGTAGAGATAAAGGCCATGATGTGAATTTCCCTCTCATTTTAAAAGGTGTCTTGTACTGGCTTAGACTTACCCAGTTCTCCCAGGAGCCATTGGGATTCTGCTTCTTGAAGGGCTCCAGCCTTTTCAAGATAGTCTGACAAGCCTCCTAAAAAGAACACCCACAACACACCAGGCACGTCAATATTTTGCATTCCATGGCCCAGGCAAAATCCCAAGGGCCTTGGTAAGGCCACTTCCAAGCGATGCTGTGCCCTCCTTGACAACCTCCCAGGAATGACAAGCCAAAAGTGGAAGTCACAGGGCTCTGCCAAATGGGCAAGCACTGGGTCTTGCTTGAAGAACACTTCCTGATCCAGTTCTCAAACTGACAAAGGGCAAGACCCTTAGGAATCACTCAAAGGATTCTATCAAACTACATTGTTTGATTGTATCTCTACACATGTTAGAAGCAAATGGGTCTGACATGACAGACTCTACAACCACATTTCAATTTCAGCTCATTTTCTTATGATCATTTCTAGCACCAAGAGTATGTCTTCCCAGAAGCCTCTACTTTCCCTTCAATATTCTTGCTTTCTCTTCCCTCCTCCTGAACTGATCCTTATGGACTTGATGGAAGTATTTAGGATTTTTGAGTCTCTCTTTGAGCTTGAAGTTTGGAGGAACGTATCCTTCTGGATAAGAGAGCCAAAGACATGGTCATAGCCAAAGAGCCTCCAAAGACCATTCTAGCCTCTGCTTGGGGGACTCTTACTACCCAAAGTGCTGGCTGGCCCTCAGCTCTGTGGTTCCCATAGTTTCCTTACGTAGACAGCCTGTCCATTGATGTCAGTGCTGACGGAGGCAGCTGTAGGAGAGGTGTTGGGCACAGTATTAGTGCTCGTCTCACTGATGTATATCTTAGAGGTGGGTATTTTCAGAGCTCTGCTGGCCACCTGCAAAAAGAGAAGACATCACCCTCTAAGGAAGGGGGATCATCATGGAGCTTGGCTGTCTTTCACTCAAGACAGTATTCAGACTCACTGTTACAGGCAAGAAAATAATTTTTCTTGCATGTAAACTATAATTCTATTGACACTGGAATAATCTCACAACTGGGTGAATTTGAAGCAGCACCTTATGAAGTAGTTCAATTGGATAACAAATTTGTAAACCTAGTGGTGACTAAAAATACTTTTGAAATTAACCTTAGCTTTTAAAATTCCAATTGGGCCAATCTCCATGAGCCAAGCCGATGTGCCAACTTTAATTCTGCTCCATCATCCTGACTCCAATGTGATAAATCTCATAGTGGGTGGTGAACTAACTACCTTCATACATAAAATTTATCCACCTCACACACAGAGACATAGAACCTTAGAATGTTAGTGACAGAAGTGATTTCAGAGATCATCCCTATGCACAGATGAGAAAACCAAGGCTGAGGTGGAGGAGACTTTCCCAAAGTCATATGTAATGAGGACCAGAGCTCAGACCATCTTCTGTTTCCAGTATGCCCCACCACTCAGTTTCTCATAGCCACAGCTCCAGAGAGTTTCCCAATGTCTCCTGGCCTCTCTTTGAACTCTGCTCACCTGGACCATCTTGGTGTGAAGACCTTGTCCCATCTCAGTGCCTCCATGGGTCAGGAGTACAGAGCCATCTGTGTACACATGCACCAGAGCCCCTGCCTAAGGTAAAAGAAGGTTGCCAGACAAGAATCAACAAAGTCTTAGCTTAACCTAGTCCCCAACCATAAGCTTAACTATGCAAGACTTCTAACCAAAGGAAATCGGGCCAAGGAAAACAAAAATAGTAGTATTATTTTAGATATATACCCTGAGAAAGGATTATAGCAACATAAATCCTGTGATTTAATTTATAGTTTGCAAAGTGTTTTCATATCTTTCTTTCCATCTCTGTCTCTTATCCTCAAAGGAATGTAGGTCAAATGTCTTTCTCTTCACCCTAAAGGTGAAGAAACAAGATCAGAAAGGTAGAGTGGCTGTCCATAGCCTTACAATTAGAAGGACTGAGAGATAGAAGTTAACTCAGAACTCCAAATCTCATGCTGCTTTCACTGTCCTGTGATACATTAGAGAAATAGGGACATGAAAGCTAAACTTTCATTTAAATGGCAAGGAGTTCCCCAACCAATGTTATTACCAGTGATAAGAGGATTTCCCTTGCAGTACTATAAACAAGGCCCAGTCCTGTGAAGATGACAAAATTTTGTGAAAATAATAATTTTTGAAGCAATTACCTGATTCAGAAAAGATACTGTGAAGCTTATTCCAAACTTGGTAGGAATTATGCACAATCCTCTCTTCTTCCAACAATTCTCCCTGAAGAAAAAAGGAACATTTTCATAGGAACTTCTCCACCATAGTTGTGTCAGAGAGGGCATATTCTTAGTCAACATATATACATCAAATCAGAATGAGGGATGCTTGGAGCCATTCATATAGCCATTGTCAACAAATGAGTTGTGCTCAAATTGTATACAAATTATGCACAAATGAGAAAGGTAGGGATTGGTTTTCTGGGACCTCCAATGCACTGGAGCAGGGACCTAGCCTGGGAGTCCTAACTTCATATCACTTTCTTTCTGGAGTAGAATTTGGATTGTGTCAAAGCAACCTGGTGATCTTGGACTGTCATCGTTGGAGGATGGGATTGTGACTTGCTGATGGTAATGATACATTTTCTGTGCTTTATATTTGGTTATCAGAGTAACTCTTTGAGGAAGATGAGCCAGAACCAGTATCCCCACTTTACTGATGCTGAAACTGAGTCTCAGGGATATGGAACAACTACCAAGGTCACATTTATAGATTAATCATAGAGCCAGGCACATAACTTTGGTGTTCTTAATCCTGGGCCAATTCTATTTGTAATGTGGCATGCCCCAAAAGGCATACAAATCCATAAAGAGATTCTGAGCACACCTGTTCCTGAGCTGAAAATTACAGGATTTTTAAGAGATGGCTCTCAGTGACTTGGAAAATTCAACAGCCTTATAATTTCTCTGCTAAATTATTAGTTTCCTATTTTAGGTTCATCAAAAAGTCTGTAGAACATGAAAGCCAACAGAGCACCGGAACATCAGACTCCACCCCTCCCAGTGCTTACTTGTTGAATTTCTCAACCTCACTCTTCCGAGCTTGATACTGAGAACTTGCCAGACATTCATCCCAGCACCTGCGCAAAGTGAATCCCTCGAGCTTCTGGTTGAAGTGTGTTAAGTCTCCTTCTTTGTACATGTTCTTCCTCCGCACCTTTCCAAGGAGAGAGACACTAAGAACTTGTTGATGGCAAGAGGCTAGGGGATGTACAATCTAAAGGTAAGCTACAAGCCCCTTCAACAATGACTGCCTCCTCCCATGGGATACAATGCCACTTTCCTTGATGTAGGTGAACCCACTCAGACTTGTGCCATCAATTCCTCAGCTTACTTCCTCTGCAGGCAGTCCACAGGTCACTGCAACTTCACTCATCCAGTACTCAGCAATGAGCATCCCCTGGGGCCCCCCAAAGCCCCGAAAGGCTGTGTTGGAAGGCAGGTTGGTCTTGCATAGTCGCCCAGTGCCCCGGATATTGGGAATTTTATAGCAGTTGTCCATGTGGAGTAGAGCTCGCTCCATTATCTGAAGCAGAGAAAACAGTGCACTCATTTCATGGCTCCTCCCAAAAGGAACATCAAGGGCTGCACCCATCCCTGACTTTTCCAGTCCCACCATCACTGCTCTTTTTTGGGCCCAAATGATTTCATCCCTGGTATATTGCAACAACCTCCTTATTGCACTACTGGTCTTCAGTTTCTTCTCTCTCTAATTTATGCCTCACAGTAAAATATAAGGTAGTATGAGGTCAAGCACTTGTTTCAAAATGCCATATATTACCTACAGAGTAAAATCCATGTATCTTTAAGCATGGAATCCAATATACTTTATGCTTTTATCCCAATCTATTTTTTTAGTCTCTTTTCTGACTTCATGTTAGTCTCTCAATTTTATTACCCTCCTCATCTTATCCACTTACAAAAATTTTTACCCAGCTCTTCTATGGGGAAACCTTTCTCAGTCTCCCTAATTGGAATTGATCATTTGCCTCTTTAAACCAAAGTTTAGTTTAGTAATTAATTTTTTAAAAATTTTATTGTGGCACAGTATATATAACAAAAAATTTACCATTTTAACCATTTTTAAACTTTTAAGTGTACAATCCAGTGGCATTAATTACATTCACCATATTGTACAATGATCAACACTATCTATTTCCAAAACTTTTTCATCACAAGCATGCACCCCTTCAGCAATAACTCCCTATTCTCTCGTGCCACCAACCCCTGGTAATGACTAATAAACTTTTCTTTCTATGCATTTGTCTATTCCAGCTACTCCATATAAACAGAATCATACAGTATTTGTTCTTTTGTGTCTGACTTATTTCCCTGTGCCTAGTATTTTCAAGGTTCATCTATTAAAGTGCTTGACTGCTTTATAGGGTTGAATAATATTCTATTTAGGGTTGAAAAATATTCCATTTTACATATATACCACATTTTGTTTATTCATTCATCTCTTGATGGACACTTGGATTGTTTCCATTTTGGGGCTATTGTGAATAGTGCTTCAATGAACACTGATACATAAATATCTGTTTGAGTTCCTGCTTTCAAGCCTTTTCATGATATACCTAGAGTGGAATTGCTAGGTTACATGGCTATTAATTCATTTTTCAGTTAGCTTTCATTGTCATTAAAGCAATACTGAATATAGCTTAAAGATTCCAGTATTTCTGTAAGTCATATTATGAAAACACCAGCCTTCTCCTCTTCCTTCCTTTCATTCTCCAGAAGCAACCACTTTCAATTATCTTTTCTGATTCTTCACCAAGAATTGGATTAGTTCCCATATCTTTAAATAATGATCTTAGTTCAAGAAAAGTGATCGTCAAGACTGTATTTAAACTGTATGCTGAGCGGAAGATTCAAAATGGAGTCTCTTCAGTAATCACCACACTATTTCCCTCTAGCACCTTAGTGCTTAGAAAACTAGGTACAGCAGTTTGAATTAGGGATTTTGGTGCTCTGAACTGCTCACTGAATCAGAGTGCAGCAAACACAGAAGAGTGGAGTTAGAGGAAAAGCACAGGGAAAAAAAATTAAGGAACTTCTACTCAGTGGAGGACAGACGGGCAGTCGAGAGAGGCCATTGGAAACTTCCCTGGGGCAGTCACTGACTGGTGGACTTGGGGGGCCACCTGAGATCTCCATGGGCCAAGGAAGAAGACACCCTATATATCAGCATACCAGCGACTACACCAACAAACACCAGCAAACACCCCAAGGATCTACCTTCAGCATCTGATTTTATCAGTAACTTGGGTTGGCTAGGTGCAAATGGGCACACACAGCACCACTGAAACCCAAGCAGAGAGCTCACTGGTGCTCCAGGAGGGTGAGCTCACTCCCCTCTCAGTGGGTCACTGAGTGGGCTTGCATCACCTTGGAAGGTATTGAGAGGTCTGTGCTTGTCTTTGTCACTGATGTCGGGACCACAGATTACTAGTAGGCACTCTCCTGACTCTAGCGCAGCTGAAATCATGTGCATCTTTGGTGCCGCAGGTGGGTGGTATCACAGACAAACTCCCACGCTGTTCGCGGCCTGGGGGGATTGGACCAGCGCAGTGGGAAGATGGGGTGAAGAGAGAGGAATCTGCGGCTGAGTGTGGTCCTGGGAATTTACTTTGGACCAGCTTTTTGGCACTGAGGGGCCTCAGAAGCGGGGTCATTGAGTGTTCCTGAGCCTGGCGAAAAGTGGCAACTCCCTAACAACAGGAATCTTTCCTGAAATTGAGCTGCGGGCTTGTAAATAACAGTATGTCATCAATAACGGCCCACACAAAGCCCTAGAAACTGACCCTAGCAACACCAAGCTTTCCTTCTTCTGCTCCCAAATTCTCTACCAATAACTTCATCCATTCAATAGAAGAAACCATATTCAGCCAATTACCATAAAACCTCCCAGTTTGAACTCTAAACCCTCTTTTTTTTTAAAAAAAAATCATTATTATTATTATTTAAATTTTTTAAATTGTGCTTTGGGTAAAGATTTACAGAGCAAATTCGCTTTCCATACAGCAGTTCACATATACTTTGTCCCATGACATTGACCACAGTTTACCACAATACAACACCTCCCCTCCCTCTTCCTCCCCATAGTTACCTCTTCCCTGTGTCCATCCCTCCATGGACTCCTGCCCCCTGAGCTCTCTCCCTGTGCATAAGCAGCCCTTCTTTCTCCCATGATTGTTCTCTCCAAGGAGAGTATCTACATGAGGTAAATGTTCAATTCATATGCCTGT